GTGCAGGGCCTGCCCCTGCTGCTGCCCTCCCATGGCCCTTTTCCCTCCCCCCACCCCTTCCCTCCCCACAGACTTACCTGCTGGAGGAGAGGGGGGCAGTGGCGTGCACAATACATCTTGGATGGCTTTTAAATGCCAAAGGTGATCTCTTACTTAAAGAGGTTGAAGACCACCAAACTAGACTGTTCTCAGTAGCAGATGACAGAACAAGGGGCAATGATCTCAAGTTGCAGTAAGGGAAGTTTAGGTTGGATACAGTATTAGGAACAACTCTCTCGCTGCAAGGGTGCTGAAGCACTAAAACAAGTTACCTAGAGAGTTGGTGGAATCTCCATCCTTGGAGGTTTTTAAGACCCAGCTTGACAAAGCCCTGACTGGGATGATCTATAGGGATGGTCCTGCTTTGAGCAGGGGGTTGAACGACATGATCAAGGGCCTCATATTCTATGATTCCAGCAAAAAAACTGACAGGGCTCTCAATATTTTACTTGCTATCAACTGCAGGACCACTGCACCTAGGGGTATACCATAGGCAGAGCTGACCTGAGCAGGGTGCAAGGCCTAGGGCAAAACAGCCCATGCGGGGCCCCGCCCCCAACTCCAATCCTGTGCACCCTGGACCCAAAGAAGCTACTGCCACCATCGGTAGTGGTGGTGTTGGTAGCGAGTGGCCTGATGCGAAGCCGGCAGCAGTGGCACGGAGTTGCCACGGCTACTCCACAGGGCCCCCAAAAGTGCAGGGCCCAGGGCGGTTGCCCCAGTTTACTCCCCCTAGGGATGGCCCTGACCATATACTTTTGAGTGTGAGGATACAAGTTTGTTACCAGAGAAGCTGTTTGCAACTAATTTTTTTAGGTAAGAACTGGAAGCATGCACGTCATTGATACATGTACATCTTAAGTGTGCTGTTACAGCAATGCAGGTTCTGGACACCCTAAAATTACTCACATCACAGCTGCTCAACCCTGTGCATGCTGTGACCTCAGCTTTAGCACTATATGCTTTGCTCTATCTTCTTAAAATGTAATTTTGCAGATGCTCTAAATAATCCAGCACCAAATAAGTACAACACAGCTGCAGCATACTTCCACATGTGGCCTGCCTCACCTTCCTATTCCATATGTAGCTGGTCAAAGGGGACTCGTGGCTGGGCAAGTACAGGTAAGGAAAAAAAATCAAAAGTCTGTCTAGGTGCTAACACCACCCTCTGCATCAGAACACTGAAGCAGCCATCAGCTGCAAGACTCTAACTTCATCCACTGGAGTACTGCAATCTATCATCTTTTTCCTCATACCTCTGGCCCTATGAGGTTCTCCAGAGGAAAGGGCAGAGTGAAAAGAGATCGTGTTTTTTAAACATAGTAGATGCCTGTTCCATTGGATGCCATGAGGAAAAAAACAACAAAGACCTGCTGATTAGCAAACACTACAACCCTTTTACGAATATGAAACAGATCACAGTCAAAAACATCTCTCTCAACAGCCAGGGTCACATTTCACTAGTCATCATAACTCAGTATCACTTATAGACTACTCAGCGCACCTCTGCAGGCACTTGATGTCATCCTACTTGGGAAGACACTTACCCTCGTCTGCACTAGAAAAGGTTTGCCAGTACAGACAGACCAGCAAACCTTCCCAGTCAAGATACAGTCTATCCCAATAAGAGGTCATTTGATTAGGCAGCAAAAACACAATAGCACTGGTGAAACTACACCTAAAGCAGAAAGTGTAGAAACATTAAAAACATTCCTTCCATTACTAAAATTGCCCACGGTGCAAAGTGTAGAGTAAGCCTTCATTAGCTTGACAGCTGCAATTGTCAGATTTAAAACTGAACTTCTATATAGGCACCTAAAATGAGCATCAGCTTTGTTAGGAAACCCAATCAGGTTTTCAGAGCCTCTTACAAAACCTGCTGTAGCTACTGACACCAAGATCACCAGAACACATAAGAATCTCTCCTGAAAAAAAGCTTTGCATCAAGGAAGCATGGAGATGGAGACTTTCTTCTAATCCCTGCTAAATAAATCCTCACGGAGGCTTCTGCCACAAAAGGGCAAGTATGGTGTTGACACTGGATTTTAGGAACCCAGCCCTTATACCTTTGTTCCAGGTGGGCACAACCCAGACCAACCACAACACCTGCCAGTTGATAATAGGTGAATTTATTGATACAGGGTGACAAAGCAACAATGCAAACAATTCTGTATCTACCAATCCTAGGGCTGTCAGAGTCAAAGTACATCTGGTCAGGATGCATGCTCCACTCTGAGGCTCTCTCCCCCCTAGGTAATCAGCAGTCTGGAGGTGGGATGCCAAGGCCCAAAGCCCCCCTCCAGTGGGGTACGTGAGACAGGCTACTGGTATGCCCTTGGTCCATGTTGGCCTTAGGGACCCTTCCTGGGGGATGGGGACTCCTCTTGAGAAGGAAGGACAGCAAGGAGGGACAAGGAACAGGGAGGGATCTTTTGTTAATCTCAAATCTCTGCTTTTGTATTCTCCTTCCCCCTTGATGACTCCTCATCCATGTTTATCTCTGGTTGGTTCTCTCTCTGTGGTTACACATCCATGTAGCCTCCCAGGTCTTCTCCTAATTTGGTCTGTTCCCCCAAAACTGGGACATGGGCTCCCCTCTGCTCTGGGGCCTTGTAGCTGGTGTCACTTAGCTCATGTCATGGGACAGTATGAAATATACTTCCTCAGTTCCCAGGCTATGTATCCTTGTTGTGTTAGACAACCAGTCTGCCTTGAAGGCTGTGATCTCACGTTATGGTATGCCCCCCTCAATTCTCAGGCTGTGTCCATCCGTTGGCCTTGTTGTGGTACACAGCCCATCTGCTTTCAGGGCCATAAGAAGTTGTGCGCATCTCTCAAGCTCTTTAGAAATCTATTTAACCCCTGCTGCCTATCTCAAACACTTATAATGTGTGTATCTATATGCCAATTCCCAAAAGACAGGCCTTTATATTCCATTTCTAAGCCAACAGGGGTAGGAAAGGGAAGGGTAGCTACCATCTTCAAAGCATTTGGAACATGGGATGACAGCTTAATGATTAGCACATCTGTGCACAAGTCTAGTACCAGTGGAGTAGAGGTATTAGCACACTATACCGTAACTCCTCATGGACATACTCAGACCATCAAAAGCAGAGATCAGACTTGGTAAGGACTGCCCAACATCCCATTTTCAGTTGCAGGATGCAGTTAGCTTTTCAAATGGCCTTGATACACAAGGTGGGAGCAGAACAAATGTCACATATGAAGTAGGACTACTGCAAGACCTACACAGCTTTTAGAAATTTGTCCTTGGTTCCTTATTCTAGTGAGACTCCCACTGGCCCGTGTGGCAATATTCCTTAAAGTCATTACTACATGCAGTCCTCTCTCTGGATTTGGCATTTCTACCACTGTTATTTCTAGCCTTTAGTTCACTGTAACTACCTAGGAACTCAGCCCTTAAAACTATTACCATTTTGTGTTAGCACTGCTTGGTGAACATTAACACCTTGGCCCAGATCACCTAGGCTTTGGTATCTTCAGAGCTGTAATGGAGAGTACTGTTGAGATACAAGCTTGCTTTCTGCAGGACATGAATGTTTTGGGCTCTGAATCGAAACAAGCTCCAAACCTCACAAGCAACATGGAAGTCACAGAGGTGGGGTTTTGCCACTAAGCAGCCTCATAAACTTGATCCACTAACTCAAACCTTCCATCTTGCTGAACACTCCTAAGCAAGTGCTAGTGACCAGCCCTAGTGAAATGCTAAGCTCAAATAGAGGGCATTTTCTAATAGTGCAGACAAATCACCTTAGTATTTGATCTCACTGGCTACTTCCTTTCAGAGAATACTCCAGGACCTGGTGCATATAACGTGGAGAAGGGGCACATTGTTCGTTTACCCAAGTCTCCAAGTGTGATCATCCAGGGCACCAGAAGACCCAAGAAACATGCAACAGGACCCTTTGCAACTCTTTGAATAGAAGCAGCAGCAGAGTTCTTGTTTACAAGAGCAATACAGACATTCAGCTTCAGGTTTACTATGCTGCATACTTTAAACTATTACCAGTCACTCCCTACCCAGGTCACCTATTTGAGCTGAAACAACTTGTTAACTTAGAGACTGAAGACCCTAGTGCATGTGGTGACCCTACAGCAATAGACAGTTCTTGCACTCAACTGCACCAAGTTCCAATATTTAGCTGTTCTGCAATTGTTAGTGATGAAGCCTTGAGGATTATTTTCAAGCTCGATTGGATACCCAATTACAGTTACAGATAGTACATTCATTTGACAGTTGCCCAGGGAACATTCACGTTTTACCTACTAAAGTGGTCTAGGTATAGCTTTCTAATTAAGATGGCAATTGATACTCTTGGCATGCAGCATAGTTCTAACTGCATATTTCCTCCTCCTAAGCCAAAACTTCACTATACCCTATGTACATACAATAAAGGCTAAGCCACCCCATGTATAAGGTACCTGTAAAGGTATCAATAACCTGGACAGGGAAGTCAGTCACACACTACCAAACTGAGGCAAATCTTGTGTGTGTGTAGAAACTGCATCTGCATGGCATTTAGGACACAGGTTAATATGTACCACTTGCCATTTCACAACAGATTTTAGAAGGCATAGGTTTTCAGCAGAAGTGCAGCTGCATTACTTTTCACTCCCCACAATACCCAAGAGATTTAACCTGTATGAACTTAGCAAAAATGGAGATTTGTCAACCTTTGTGATACTCCTATACCTCATGGTCAATAGTTGCAAATGGGTTCTCTCCATTCTGAATGTCAGGGGTATATTTGGTTCACTTGATTAGCATACAAAAAGCTGGTGTAACTAGTACATTTGTTCAGTGGGACCAAAAGAAATTCGATGACCACAGTGCAGCCAGACAGCAGAATCCAACACCAGCAAGCGACTCAGATTCCACAGCTTAGCAGGAGACAGATACTTAGATAAACAAAGTTGTCTGTAGTAAAACCAGATTGTTCTTAGACAACTACAGTTTTATTATGAAGCTTCACAAGTTACAAAAATCTACATGAACCTTCATGATCTTTTCTTCTTTGCTGCAGTCTTTAACTCTGTTGAAGGAAACAAATCTCTCAGTAAGAATAATCTTTGTTGACAACCCAAAGCTAATGAATTTTAATAAGGCTATTACTTACAGCTGGGCACTCTATTGAGCCATTGTTGATGTCATCAATGATGTCATGAGGATGCCTGCCATCAATACTGCAGCCAACAGACTGAGCAGTCCCTAGAATCTCCTTAATGGTTCCTGTGAGAGAAGATTACCTATAAAAACACTACTCAGCCCAGGAGGGTGTTGACAAAGCTACCTGCTTTGAATCCCAAGTCCCCTTCCAACAGAAGGAAGTACTGCTAGGAGAGTCTGGTTGGGCTGTCAGCCTCCTGCCAATGCCAGTTCCTATGCAAGCCTGCACCCTGCTTGAGGTTCATTAAATGCCAAAACATTTGACTAGCTACATGACAAATTTGTGAGGTACTCTCTCATATTCTCCATCCCTGTTCCATTCATACAACTCCTTTATAGAAGCTGGAGCTGAGCTTTCTTGGCAGGCATGCTACAAGTTAGCCTTTCCCTCCTCTGCCCAATCTGTTCTGCCTTCTGCTTTCCTGACTGTCCCCCCACCCTTATCTGTCATGTGCTACACAAAGGCTCCTGCCACTTGTGCCACAAGTTGCCCACCCCTGGTTCATCTCTCTCTACTTTTTCATCATTAAGACACAATCAACTCAGAAAGAGCGGGAAACAGAACACTCCCTTTGACAATTCTCATCCTTCCCCTATAATTCTCCAAGCCTTGCTCCTGGACACAAAACATCATCTCCTGCCCTGAAGAGGGACTGCAGGTTGTAGAAGGATTCACAAAAGGGGAAAGAGGGCAGGAAGCTTGGAAGAAACAGGTAAGTCTCACACTAGAATCTAGATCCCATGTCCAGGAGTACAGGGCAAGAACATGATCCCAAGGTGCAAGTCTTGTAACATCACTGGTACTTTCATTAGACAGGTAGGTATTTGTGACCTTATATAAAAGATCACCCTCTAAATTATATCCATTCCTAGTAACTTCATAGTTCAATTGAAATTATCCCACTAGAGAGAGGTCTGATCCAGTTAACAATTTCTAAGACAATCTTGGGAGCTTTAAATCAAACATAACGCTCAAGATGACTTGTACCATCACTTAGAAGACAAGTGAATACCTATGAAGTGCCAGAGGACTAGCTGGTCCCTGTGGGGACATTAGGAGGTAACATGGCTGGGTCACGAGAACTGACAGAAGTGAGTTCTGCAAGGTAGCCTACACTAGATGGCATATATGCCCTTATACATTCACCCTCTGCATATCAGAAAACATTCTGACCTGGCAGCCAGCCTACAGAAGTGGAAGATCCCAGCAAGGCTAGCAGCCAGCTAGCAGTTGGAGTAGATAAGCTAGGGGGGAAAAAGAGCCCACTGGCAGTAGGTTATGGGACTCTTCTGACACCACCTTATACTTGGAACCAGCCTGTGGGTAGATGCACAAAGCAACACCAAGCACAGAACTTACCAGACAGCTCCCGGGCCAGCGACCTGTGCCTCATTTGCCGCGCAATGCTCACAATCTCATCAAAGCTGACACTGCCGCTGTGCTTAACTGTGAAAGACCCAAAGAAAGCCCAATGAGTTCTCTGAAGATCCTTAGCCATGTGTCAGCTCTCTAGCCCCAGTAGTAGAAAGGCTGGGATTCTAGCACGTGCTCATTCTTCACAGCATGGCCCTGATTTATCTGTCTCCAGACTTTGGCACAGAGTTACCCACAGAAAGAATAACCCTATTTCCTAAGCTGGTATGTTTTTATCAGCTCACTACTGGATTGTATCAGCCACTTCATTACAAGACAGGCACAGTGGCAGGTGGCTATTTTAAGTTTAAGGCAAGTCAAGCTAAAGCCAAATGCTTTGACACAGAAAAAGGCAGACAATTTCTATCTGTTTACATTCCCCTGTGTTCAACAGAGTTCTCAGACAAGTTGAGTTTTTTTGTTTTGTTTTTATATGCCTCCTATGGGCATAAAACTGAAGACCCCCCACAAAAAGAAAGAGCTCTCCTTGGGCTCTTCCCAACATTAAGGCATCCCCAGATCCTCCTGATAGTAAATACACATATTTCATAGGTGAAGGGGCTCATACTGACAGCCACCCAGATTTCATCTGCACAAAACCACCAGCACTAACAACAGACCCTGGGTAGGCTCCCCACGAACAGAAACTTACTGTTTTTCTGCTTCTTCCTGTCACGTGGAGGCTCCTTAAGAGCTTTGATGATCAGGGCAGAGGCAGAAGGGACAACCTCAATCTGAAGGGTAAGAGGCACAAGTTCTCTTAAAAACTAAGGTTAGGAAATTTAAAATCAGCACTTTAAGCTAAGAACCAATTATTTCCACATCTAGCTGCAAGTCCTCTTGGCTTGCCAGTTAGACAACAGTAATTCATTTGCTATATGCCAAGAGAGCAGTCTTTAAGGTTAATAGTAAGTGTGCATGGCGCACCTCATTTGCACAGAGACATGCAACTCAAAACTTGTTCCCAACTTTTCGGCACAGAGATCTTCACAGAAAGAAAAGCCCTGCTTCCTAAGTTGGGGATTATTCTTAGCTCACCACTGGAATATACCAGTCACTCAAGTTTAAGACAGGTATAGTGGCGGGTGGCTGCAAGGCTACATGTGGGTATTTAAGCCATTTTACCCAGCTTGGCACAGACATCATTTTCCTAGTTACCACCCAAGGGCTGATATTCATTGGCAAATAATGGTTACAGTCAGCATCAATTTCACAAGGAATTCCTTCCTCAGTACACATCTTTTAGCTCAATGATCAGGTTTTTCAAGCTGCTTTTGACCCATACCCACAGTAGCTGCTTCATCAGTGCACAGTGGGGAACCTAATATTCCACAAGGCTGCTAACATGCACCTTCAGCTGCAGAGGAAGCACTATACAACAGGCAGCTGTCTCTGGATGAAGTGCCAGAGAATGCTTACTGGGACATTGTTTTTAAGGTCTCGTCCAGAAGACCCCCACACAGCAAGCTGTATGGAACTCATTTTATCTACCTCGGAAGGATGAAGGGCTGAGTCGACCCTGCCAGGATCAAAGCTCATGGTTCCAGCTAGGCCAGGTTTTTCAAACCTGATGCTTGTACCACAGAGCCATCCCTTTTGGCATTCAGTACCTGAGCTTGCCTGTTCTGGATTGTGAGTTTCACCGTGATCCTCAGCCCCTTCCAGTCACCTGTGGCCTTGGCAATATCATCACCAACCTTCTTGGGGGACTGAAAAGAAGAACAGGCATTGAATCAATTAAATTCTCTTCAGTGAGAGGTTGAATTCCTGCAGCATGTCATGCAGTTTATGCTTTGAGCAGGGACACCCACATGTACCACTGCATTCTAGAACTGCCTCTTTTTACCAAATGAATAGCTAAATCCACTCAACTGTAGACACTTTTGGTGTATTCCTATGATATTACATGAGCAACAACCCTGGAGAAACCAGTCAGACTAAACAGGCAGAAAACCCAGAAGAATCAGTTGCTGAACATGCACATGACTCCCCCCACCCCATTTGTGCAGACTGGATGTCTACAGCACTTCATGCTCATCCACAGTCACTCCACATAGGATTATTTTGAGAGGCAGGTAGCTTAGTCTTGCTTTTATGCATTTGTCATTTAAAAACACAGTTAAGTATTTGCTCATAGCCATCGTATGGTTTTTCACATCACTCAAGTCAAAGCCCCTAACTGGTATTTATAGGCAAACGAAGAAAACCAGCCCAAATGACCCCGATTTTAAGCAAAAACACCAACCAGGCATGGGTTACAAGACCGTAAGGAGAACCCAGTAAGCATGCATGGAAAGAGCTGTGCTACACGTTGCAGCAGTGCTGAGCATGTTACTTACCAAACCCAGGGGGCCAATTTTGGGGGCCAGTGCAGAGGTGGCACCAACTTCCCCCCCAGTGCATCTCAGGTACACTGCAGGAAAGACATGCACAAAAAAAAGAGAGAAGAAAAAAAGAGAGACGTGAGCACCACGAGCACAGCCCACGCGGCCTCGCAGCTCCCCGCCCGCCTCCCCCGGGCTGGAGCCCTTGCCTGAATACAAGCCAGCGGCCTGTGGGCACAAGCCCAGCCCCAGTGCCTGCCAGGGCGGAGGCCAGGACAGCTAACAGCAACGTGACCGCGGCTGCTCCGGCAAGGAGGGCCAGGAGAGGCCCGACCCGAGGCGGTTCCGAGCGCGCCCCGCCAGCCGCAAAGCGCGGCGCCACCCCCTACGCACCGACTTTGATCTCGTTAGGGTCGAACTTGGGCGGCATGGCGGCGCGCGGCGCGGATGGGGCCGGATGCGCGGCGTCGGCGTCAGCAGCGTCTCCGCGCGCGGTGAACGAGCACGGAAGAGACCGAGCACACCGCCCCCTCGCGAGATATAGTGGGTGAAATCTCGCGAGATAAGCCCCTGTGGGCCGCCATGTTACTTGAGGGCAAAAGCCCAGCAGGAAGGCGTAGCTCCCATGTTGGGTGTGGGCAAGAGCCCCGTCAGGAAGGCGTGGCTTCCATGTTGGGTGTGGGCCGGGTCCAGCTGGGGAAGGGTAGACCCGGCTCGGCCTCCCCAGTTGCCTCACGCTCCCAGGAGCGCGCTGGCTGGGGAGGGAGACGCTCTGATCAGTCTCTGTGGTGCGGTGGTCACGTGGCGGGCGGGGTGGGGCGCTCAGGAACCCGCGGTGCCGGTGACAGCGGCGGTGAGTCCAGCGCAACCGGGGGAGGGTCGCGGAGCCGAGGCCGCAGCCGCGGCGTCAGCCGTGGGGGGTGGGGTGGG